CCTACATCAACTCTGAATTGAATTCAGAGAGATCAGATCAGATCAATATAAGAATAGAAGTGGCAAGGTAAGGGCAGTTTTAAATTCAGGCTATTATTATGTGACCGAAATCTGCGCAAAGACTAAAGTTTGTTAAATGTTACGTCTAGTTCCAACTACTATATGAGGTAGAAGTATGGGTGTTAAAAGAGCAAACAGTTAAGAAGATTGAAGCCTTTAAACTTTGTATATACCGGCAAATGCTGAGAATTCCATGAACGGCCCGAGTTACCAACGGGGAAGTTGGTATTTGATAAGATCATTAAAAGTACGCAAGACCAAACACCAATGACACATACGGCGGAATGAAAAATACAGTCTATTGCAGATCATCATGCAGACTGAGTACTGTTCTGCCAGTTTGGAATTTTCATTTATGAAAATTTTGTCCTATCAGTTGGCGTTCACCATATAAATTAAATGAAACGTTAAAGACGGCCACTTCATTCTTTACGAATACCCATGTTTTTCGATTGGAGTTTTCTTCGGATGACAAACGCAGTGTTAAAATGTCTTGCTCCGCTAAAATTGTGTCGATAATGCATTTTTTGTAAGCTGATAAATGTGTTTAATTTATTGCATATTACTAACCTTTAAAAAGCAGGGGTACGTAAGTCACTACGGTGCATCCCGCGCAAGTAAGCCGTTCCATTAATCGCACCGTAGCCATTAATCAAAAACACTTATACAAATAAGTTTTTATTTCATTTCATATCATTCATTTTTCCTCATTAGAGGTTGCTAATTGTGGTCTTTGGTATATTATTTTACTATATAATTGCCAAACTAGCCTGCGCGTTTCGATCCAGTTCAATGTTCACAGGTCTTCCTGATGAAAGGTAAACATTGAAACACGTTTATATTAATTTACGAAACATTTCATTTATATTAATTTATTTCATTCAACTGCTCCTTCGTTTGAGATGTCCGATGCGGTTACATCCCTTATTACGGTCACCACTACCCTTGCGCTTCCTCACTTCTGCTCGCTCACTTTGTTGCCAATGACAATGCGAGTAACATATACGCTTTAACTGCCAACGTTTCTTTTGATTCTCCTGATGACACCGAAGCGGTGTGAGCTACGTTATAAAATTTAAATATTGTGGAGCCGGGATAATAAAAACTTATTTGTAGGTGGTATTGATGAAAACTTTAAACGTTTATGAAGTACTTATAAAAATGTAAAGATTGATAGATGCTGCTACAGGGGAGGGAGCTATTATAATTTAGCTGAGGTACCTCCAAAATAAAGGTATAGGGAGAATGATTACCAGACAGAAAGACTTTGTAGCATTAGCTTTGTAAGCCTTAATTAATTGTGTATCTATTACATTAAAATGAGATAACAATAAATATGGTTAAATATGCGAGAATTAGTTTTACCTAAAAAATTGTGTTAGATGAAATATGGCTTGCACCAATATCCTCATATTTGTGGCCCTTATATAAGAATGGGTTGCCGAACCATGCTTTAAAGCACTGGTTTCAAATAAAATATCAAGTTTGGCTAGTCATTTTTGCACTGCTGTTTTTCTCTACGAAAAATTTGGAATTTAGTCTACCTGTATCAATTGGGTAGATATCTAAGCTAGGAAACATTTTTTTATCATTGGGAGTAAATTTTCTTTTTGATCATTGTGTAAATGGTCAAAATTCGTTCCGCCAAGTCTTGATATAAATATATGAAGGGTACAGGTCCATAAAGTCACCAAATGTTTATTTCGTACAAAACGAAGTTTAAATTTTAAAACCAGTTATTGATAAATTATTGATGGTTATCATGACCTCTATTGATTAGATCAGTTACTTAAGTAATTAATGAAACACATAGAAGAAATTAAATTTATATTGATATTATAAAAAATAGAACAGAAGCTTTAATTGGTCAAACCACCAAACATTATTGGCCTAAAGTGGCCAAGTCCAAAAAAAAAACAAGTTAAAATGACAAGTAGACAAAAGTTATTAATATGAAATAATTCTAATTCTTAGGCAGGTTATCAAAAAATTGTTTTGCTTCGTCACCACAGAATCGTTTCAAATCTTGTAGGCATTTAAATTTTTTAGCCGAGATTGGTAAAAGACCTAAAAATAATGTTGTTTAATAATAGTATTCCAAGATATTAATAATTTTTTATACCTGAATAAGAATACGGAGGAAGTTCAAATTCATTTTGTAGTAGTACTGGTCCCTTTCGCTTACTATTTTTTTCCTTCACTAATGCTGACTCCCATGCTCCATTATAGGACTCCCGGTAATATATCAATCTACGATGATCTTGATGTATTTCTAATTCTCGAATTGGACGGGAACTGAAAGGACATTTCTTCAAATAATCTGTTTTCGTATTAAAAAAATTCGTCCATGCTCGAAAGTAGGATTGATCTATTTCCACAACGTCAAAGGGCGATGGTTTTGCTCGAGCACTTCTAAAAATTTCAACCCAATCTAAAGGAATCGCAGCTCGTTGTTTGGAGTTTATTAAGCCCATATTTTTATCCGGTTCCATATAGGAATGGCCACGAATAGGGAAAGTAACTTTTACATAATCAAGTCTACGTGTATTGTGGACAATATAATGCAAAAAACGAAACATGGTGAAATTTTTATTTTGTCCCCCACACGAGTGGAGGAATATTTCAAGCGATCTTACTTGTATATCGAGAAAATTCCAAAGAAAGTCATTCAGCATTGAGCATACATCGTCGCTTCCCTTTTTGCCAATTGTTTCCGGGTAAATGTAAAACACACTTTTTGCTGTAGATAGAATGTGGACATTAAAGGCATAGACGTTCAGCTGGCTCTTATAGTAAACATCGTTTGTTGTTATGTTTGGGACACTGAGATTTTTTCCAAAATCGAGACAAATAGCTTCGTGAGTCACAGAGGTTCGAGTTTTTTTCTTCGCAGCTCTTTTTCTACTGTAAAATACCTCAGCCTTTCTTTTGTGTACATCATTTTGTATCGTAAGCTGGCGTATTTCCTTTTGCAAGCGTTCATTTTCAGCAAGATCGAAACTACTGTTTAAAATATCAGACTGAAGAGATTTTATTTTTATAAGAAACTCATCACAGGAACTACATGTATCAGTTCTGGGATATCCAAAGGCTATGTTAAATTTTGTATTAAAGACTGTTCCGTAAGACTCGTAAGATATTTTCATAGAAGGGTTCAACTCGCAAAACATTTTGAACATCTTTTTTATGTTTAACTCTTCAGGTAAGTATAATTTTTTACTAACATTCACACTATAGTGGCTTTTCCTGCCTTTAAATGACTTTATATGTTCGTATATTGCTACAAGAACGTTGGATTCCAATTTTCTAAGATGGTTTTTATTTTCTCCCCTTTTATCTTTAGGGGCGACTCCAGTCATTTTTAGTGAATTTTGTAATATCTCTATTTTTTTTCTTTATTCCATAAATAGACATAAAAGCTTGTCTACAAATATTTATTTCTTTTAAGCTATTATCAGTGCTAAAACGTACCCTGTAAGAATATGCAGCACTTCTAAAATTTGCTTCGTTTTCATCTTTCCTAGGCCTTCTTCGGCGAATAGGCAGTACTGTAATCAATCCACATAAGTATGAGTTCTGCTCATTAATAGAAGCCATTGTGTTAAAATTTTTGAGTACAGTTTTTCTTGCTTCTTCGGGCACATTTTGAAAACATTGTTTACGACAATTACAGGTTGCACCTACCTCGTGACTCTGCAGTCTAATTTTTTTCATGACATCTCTCATTCTGCCGTGCTTTTTCCTTTTTTTTGATTCATTCTGTTTAGGCACTACTTCAGTCTCATTTCCACTACTATTGTTTTCTGTATTCATTGTTATTTACTTTTAAATCACTTAAAAAACAATGAAAACAAACTAAACCGACGAACCTAACTCTAAACTGCGCATATTAGATTAACGTCTATTAGCTGTTTATATGGACTTTACCCTTTTAGGACCTGCCTGATAAGGACTTGCCCCCTATTGGTGGTATATGCGTAAATTAGAATTAGTATTTCACGGGAACTAAGCGCTTTTAGGACGTGTAACCAGTCGCTGACCACTTCTACGTTAAAATTGCTACAAGATGGCACCACTAGATCTATTTAAGAAAAATTGCGACTTGCCCCCTTTTGGCCCTGTACCCTTCATATGTAATACAGCAGGTACGAATCCTAGTGCAACTTCAACATTTATGATTGTGAGACATTTTCCTTTAAGCCATAGAGATTTTAAACATTTATTTTGCATTATACTCATGTCTGTGTCATATGAGAACTAGAGATATATAAGAATTAGTCAGTAGATACATGACATCTATGAATCCTTATATAAAAAGTGTAAGTAAAATTTGAATGATTATTTCAAAATTTGATGTATTAAATCAATGATTTGTCTGCTAGTTTAGGAATTACTCTGAAACATTAATATACTGATCGAACATTATAGAAAAATTCTTACCTTCATTTTTATCGAGATTCAACAGAGATTAAATAAAATTATCAAATAAAATTGTCATATTAAACTTTATAAGCGCCTTCCATTTAAAAATCAATTTGTACACTTTAACAATAAGTCTTCCATTTAAAAATCACTTAAAATTATTACATCCATTGATTAATGCCCAAATTTAGCGCGTCTAAATTAGCATATTTCAGATAAAAGGTTTTGTATGTTTAAAAAAAAATTAGAAAGATATAATATAATATTTATAGTTACTGTAAACTCTATATGAAACTGTGTTAACTCGTAATATTATTATGTAAGCAATATACTAATTATGTAATTTGATGTAAAATTACTAAAAAAATATGAAATGAATCTAATGCTTGGACATACGTATGTTCTACAAAAGTAGAAGGACGAAGAGACATGTAATTTTGACGCACAAAAAATATTGTTTTCTACACTAAAATTTTGGCAAACTAACCCATTGACATCTGTGATTAAAATTGACTTACCTCCTTCGTTGAGATCAAAGCTACTGTTATTTTCTTCAGCTTGTCTTCGCTCCCTTTCCACTGTAATACAAAATAGAAGGTAATGCAACAACAGCAACAATAAAAGATAAAAATTAATAATTCAAATTAAATTTAGCATTTCGCCTGCTACCCGTTTGTTGCAGTTTCGCAACTGTATATAAACATTTGTAAAAGAATAACAGACTTTTTGATAGTTTCGATTCTCCCCGTATATTTAAAGTGAGATTTGCCTATACGAAAAATACAGCTGTTTTAAGAACTAATTTAAGAGAATGAGGCATCTGAATAAGGGTTCGAATTACATCTACAAAATCAGAGTCGAGTTTTATCTCTCAAACGATACAGTGTGTATGTGTGTGGGTTAAAGGTACCTGACACTCTCAAATGCAGTTGAGGTGGAATGTGAATTATCAACTTTTTGTAGTTTCTGTATGTCGGTGAAGACGTCCTTTTTTATAGTGGTGGTGCTATCATTTTATTGGGTAAAGTACATATACACAATATATAAACCATAATTTTGTTGTTGGATGGGCTAAGTAAATATTTTGTGCCCCAATAAATCACATATTGTGTCGCGGTTTTTGAACTTTTTACATTTGTTTTCGACTTTATTTTATTGTGCTGAACTTTATATTTCATTGTGTCGTTCGTTGAGAATATTTATCTTTGCTTACAGATATTTGACTGTATCCATAATTATTATGGACTTGTTTGCATTAATAATTTTATTAATTTATTATTAATTGACAACTTATTAGATTGTACGAATTTCACTATTCTTTTTGTGTTTTTATGAGTACTAATTGCATTAATTTTATTATTAATTTAATGTGCATTTTATTACCGGATATATTTTTGAATTGACTTTATTGAATTGTTTTTATACCATTGACATACATGTCAATATTTTTATGTTGAATATATTTTTATGTTTATAACGGGGTATATATACGAAAATATTTTACTGCTGTAGTTTTTTTTTAAATCGACATTTTTCTTTTGGTTTGTTTATGGTTATCTTTTAGGGTCGTTTCATAGTAACTAATATATAAGTTTGTATATATTCTTCTTTAGTTGTAATTGTACATTTGGTTATGCATATTTATGTTTTAATTTGATTGCTTTTTTAAGTCCGCTGGCTTTCATTTCTCTTCTATTTTAAAATACATACCCAATCCCAAAGGGGGAAACCAGCGAGTTCTAGATTCAACATAATACATTCTCTCCCCCTTCAATATGATTCAATTGTTATATTGATGTCATCGTATGTGCAGAACACCGTTGATTTTAGCAGAATGATTACAATTGTTTTACCGAATATATGAAACGTACCAGTGTACACTGTGTAAAGTTGAGTATATACGTAGTATATAGTAATATTGACAAAATTTAGATATATGTAAAATCAAATAAGGTTAATGTAGGGATCAAGGTATGGCCAGATCCCTACTATCGAATAGATAAAAACAAATAAATCCAAGTACATAGTAATTTCAAAAAGTGAAGCACAACCTTTTTTAATTATAGTTTACAATGATAACTTAAAGAAATTACATAAAATATTTAGGCCTATTGGGCTAACCCGTACTCGTACCCCTTTCACATTGCCAAAGTATCCTATACAAAAATAAATTTTTTACTTATAAACAAATAGAATATTTTTTTAGTTATTAGTATATCTATATAAAAAGAAAAACAAATTACCTAGGTCAATTAAAACTAAAGATAGCCAATTTTTTTTTAGCCAAACCAAAGGAATGTTATTTGCGCCATTTTAATTTTAAATATTCAAAGTTTATGAAAAAAAAAATGGTTCAATTTGCACTTCAGGAGAATCGTCGGTAATGCTTAAAAATGAAGTACAAACGGTTACCACTTGTAGGGGCAAGGGAGAGAAGTATTTATTCGTGCGCTCCAAAAATAATAATATGGAATCTTCAGTCACGTACGAGCCCCTTCCCATATCAGTTGGCCCCCACCTATACGAATATAATATATGAAGTTCCCATATTAATTTTTTAATATTAATTAACAATCTTTTCAACAATAAAAAAAATCACCAAACCCTGGCTATGCATTCACTTATCTCAACATACGTTGATTTTTTCATAATTACCTTAAATCCAGAGGTAGCTATGGAAAAATTACATCAAAACAATAATATTGTCAGTTAATGTCAAATTTATTTTGTAGTATTGTTAAGCTTTTGTCGTTTGTGGATTGTACAATAGTCGAGGTAAAGTTACAGTTGAGAAAATTTGTTCAATCATTATTAGATTTTTTAATTCTGGAAAATCCAATTCGGAAATCGCGAAAATGTTACAATTGTTACGCTATAGTGTAAGAAATATATACGCTATACTTTCAGCTAAAACCTACCCAGGAGCAGATATAGGCTCGGATCACAATCCTGTAGTAGTCACATTAAGAATAAAACTAAAGATCATTAAAAAACACATACAGAAACAAATTGACGTGAGAAGACTGAATGAACAACATATAAAAGAGAAAACAATAGTGAACATCAAAGAAAATTTACAAAATATAGAGAAACTGAATAGAAATACTGATAACATAGACCAAAAATGGGAGAATATTAAACATGCCGTAATGTTGGAAGGGAGAGAAAATTTAACACCGAAAGAAAGGAAACATAAAGAATGGATGAATGAGGAAATACTACAGTTGATGCGTGAAAGAATGGTACACAAAACAAATAATCCGATAAGATACAAAGAAACAGATAAACTGATAAACAAGAAAACAAGGTACAAGGGACATTTACAAGGGTGTTTGCAATGAACGTTCTCTCACAGAGATGCTTAGACATGAACCAAGAAATTTACGCCTGCTTTATTGATTTCGAAAAGGCCTTTGACAAAGTACAACATGAACCACTAAGACAAGTTCTAATAAAGAAAAATATAGGCAGCCGAGATATTCGAATTATATGCAATCTATATTGGAATCAAACAGCAAATGTCGAGGTTGAGGGCAGACTAACAGAAGAAATTCAAATCCGTCGAGGAGTCCGGCAGGGATGTATCTTATCGCCACTTTTATTTAATCTGTATAGTGACGCTATCTGTGAACAAGCACTCGAGGAAGAAGATCTTGGTCTGATAATAAATGGTGAGACGATCAACAATATAAGGTATGCTGACGATACAGTTCTCCTAACGGGAACGCTAGTAAAACTACAAAATCTCGTTCAAAGTCCAATATATACTGTAACAGTTACGGCTTGAAAATTAATTTGAAAAAAAACTAAATTTATTTTAATCACGAAATCAAAGAACATCAGAGCTAATCTTGTAATAGACAATACAACGATTGAGCGTGTGCCCTGTTATAAATATCTAGGTGCTTGGATCACAGACGATACTGATCAAACAAAAGAGATTAGATGTAGAATAGAAATCGCTAGATCAGTCTTTAATAGAATGCGCAAACTATTTTGCAATCGTGATATCAATATAAAGTTACGAATACGAATGCTGCGGTGTTATGTCCTTTCTACCCTGTTATATGGAGTTGAGGCTTGGACACTAAAACAGTTGACCATAAAAAACATCGAAGCTTTCGAGATGTGGTGCTATAGGCGCATTCTCAGAATATCATGGATGGACCGCGTCACTAACACGCAAGTACTCCAAACTTTAGACAAAAGATGCGAAATTCTAAATGAGATAAAAACTAGAAAGATGGAATACTTGGGGCACATTGTGAGAGGTGAAAAGTACGAACTTTTAAGAAACATCATGCAGGGCAAAATTAAGGCAAAAGAAGTGTGGGAAGAAGAAAAATATCGTGGCTTCGTAATCTACGTGAATGGTTCGGGTGTAGTTCGATTGAACTTTTTAGGCGCGCTGCTAACAAAGTCGCAGTGGCCATGCTGATTTCCAATCTCCGCTAGGAGTGGCACGAGAAGAAGAAGAAGAAGTGTAAGAAATATAGTCAGAAGATATAAAACTACAGGTTCGGTCGTCATAAAACCTAGAAATTTTCGAAAATGTAAAATAACCGAAACAGATCGAAGAGTATTAAGACGCAATATAGTGAAAAATCGACGAGCAAATTATATGGAGTTAATCCTTTTATGCAGTGACGTTATTAAAAGACACGTTTCTAGATTAACATGTCACCGAGAGGCCCACAAATTATGATTTGGTACTTACAAAGTAAGTTTTATAGTTGAAAAAAATAGCACGAATTGTTTTTAATAAATTTCATTTTATTTTAGGCTAAGGAAAAGTCACCTTTAACATTACAACAAAAGAAAATAGATTAAAATGGTCAAAAAAAACATAAAGATTAGACTCAGTCGCAATGGGATTCATACAATAGAAGGATGAGTCCAGATTTTGAAGTGTGTGTTGGAGACAGTAGGAGTCGCGTTATTCGCAGGAAAAATGAAGCTTTCCATCTCGACTGTCTAAAGAAAAATAGAAAGAATATTTGAAAGAAAGGTTCTCAGAATAATATTTGGCCCTTAAAGAGATGAATTCACAGAGGATTGGAGAAGACACCGCAATGCTGAATTGGTGACTCTGTATGGAACTGAAAACATAGTTACACATAATAAAGCAAACTGAATAAGATGGGCAGGTCACGTGGTACGATCAGAGGATGACAGAGTGTTAAAGACAGTGTTTTTTGAAAGACCAGATGGTAGAAGATCAGTAGGGCGACCGAGAAAAAGATGAAAGGATGATGTTGAAGCCGATTTATCTAAAATTGTAGTACAACAATGGGAAACAGAAGCGCAAGATCGTAGGGGATGGAGGGCGATAGTGGATGCGGCGAAGACTCACCCCGAGTTCTAAAGCCAGTGAAGAAGAAGAAGAAGATTTTTTCCGTTTCCTTCCTACGAGTAGATATGGGTTTAGGGACAAATAAGAGAGGAGCTAGGAGTGGTAAACTTTTTGCAGATTTTTTTGGGACCAAAAATTTTCAGCAAAATTCAGCTTGTTCGTACGACTTTTAGAGGGTCAGTGGCATTTTCGTCTATGACAACTGGAGTATAAATTTACTTATAACAAAACTAAACCGTCTTTCAGGTTTGGTAATACGTTTTTTAGATGTCTCTATTTGAGTTACATCGGATTAATAAAAGAATGATCGGCTTCATTGGAAATTCAATTTTCTTCAACTTTTGTACTTCATTAAAGAGGTCAGCTGTACTTCCGCTGAAAGCTCTACCGACGACTCTTCTAAAGTGTAAACTCAGCCACATTTTTTTACGTAATCCTTAAATATTCAAAATTAAAATGACGTAAGCAGTGAGTTTAAAAAAAAATGGCTAACTTTTTGTATTCGTAAAAAAATACACGCTTTTAAAATATGTAAAAAAATTATTTTACAAACAGTATCAAAAAAATTATTAAATTTGTGTATAAGTAAAAAATTACCATATTTTGTAAAATTGTTTTTTGATAATAATTTTTTTTATTAATTTTTATTTCATTTTTTTTAAGAAGCTGATTTACTCTTTCATTTGGTAACCGAAAATGAAAGAAGAAACAAATATTCTGGGATAAACAAATAAAATAAAATTTAAACAATTTAAGAAATCTCTTTGAAGTTTTTTATCACATATTAAGCATTACAAGGCCTAACTTTAGCGAAACGTTTAAGGTCTTAGAGCAATTTTTGAAATAGTTACAAATAATTTTTTTTTTTTTTGAAATTTTGATCTTTTTTGCATTTATCTAAACAACAATACATATATAAACTTTTGCAAATCGTCATTTTGAAGCTTTTTGGTTGTTCTAAAAAGATGGTTATGCCAATAAACTTTTGTTTATTTGTAATTTGTTTATAATAATTATAAATTATCAATAAATCTAACGCCGGAAATGGTTAACATTTGCTTGTATAAGCATTATACATAAAAAGACCTTTCAGTACACTGGCTGTTTGAGTGTCACGACAAAAACCTTATTACCCTGGACTATAACCCCTTCATACACTCACCTCTTCAATTCTTATAGACTTATGATGTATGGAAATCAATTTTTAGCAAAGATCTGCGATAAAACGAAAAGAAAATAAAATGAAAAACAATTCAGTCCGAGACATACAGACAGTAAATCCCAAAATACTAGATAATATTACAATTTCAACACAGATACGATACAGTTATAATGTCAGCCTTGTACAGCTAATGTCAAAAAAGAGCGATCTTAAAAGCCAGAGAAAATATATAGATAAAGAAAATCACATGAGGAGATAATGATATGTGCCAATATTCAATTCATGAAACTACGCCGATCTTTATAGGATGCTTCGATGATGAATAAAGACAAAACATAAATCACAAGGTATGAAAGCTAATGAAATGGGATTTGGGCAAAAAATCATATTAAAAATACTCTAGCTGTTTTGTCAACCAAAACTCACTTTCTTATTCCTTAACAGTATAAATGATTGGAACTTACTTTGGAGAAACTGGGAATTCTTCTTCATCCTAGTATGTTCATTAGTATCGTGTCGCATTCCTATTAACTTCATTATGCTTCTATCTTTCTTAGTTATTGGACCAGGACAACTATCTTCAAACTGTCGAACGCAATGCCTATGTAGGTTTATAAGGCAAGCTGAAAGAAAAAAAATACTTAAAAACTTTGAGTTTTACATAATTTAATAAGAGTTTATAAATCTAAGTAGTCCAAATATTATATATCATTTACACGTCTTTTTTAGATTAGGCTCTACAGGATATCTGAATCCATGTGGGAATAGTCCAGTACAGTCCCCTTCCGTAGTGGTTTAGAAAACACAATATTTAGCTGTCATAATTTACAATTAAATGTGTTGTTTCCTGTTGAACTAGGTATGAAGCAGAAACAGAACAGAAAAAAGGATCGATAATAAAAAGAAGATTGTAAAAAAACATACCTGAAAGTATTGCTACTGTGAATCAGAGGTCCTGAAGATGAGCTATAAAATTATATTTGAAAACCAGAATTTTTAAATTTTGATTATGGAGATATAACTGGTAATCAGTAAACAAGTAAATAAAGCGAAGAAATATCATTTCAAATAAACCAACAGTGGAATCGATCAAATAGTATACAAAATATGTGTGATACCTTTACTCGCATAATGATGAGGAAACAATACCAAATACAAACACAAGTAAACACTGATATGACAAACAATTATGTCCAGAAAGTTATCATAATCAATATACCTAAGAATATGCTACCATAAGCTGGAAACTAACGATTGGATATCAATAACTTTAAGCTGATTTCTCTTATAAATGAAATGAGGTTGAATGCTCGAATAAATGAACTTTGAAAATAAGGCTATTATCGAGCACAAGTTAATTAAATCTAGCCCAACTACTTTCGCTTAAAATAGCATCTTCAGGGGCATTTCGTCAAATTGTGAACTATCCGGCAAGCGTAGAATGTGAAAACATTAAAAATAACATAAAACTGTACAAAACACTACACTAAAACGAGGACAAACAGTTTAAACTGTTTGTCCTCGTTTTAGTGTAGTGTTTTGTACAATTTTATGTTATTTTTAATACTGTTTGTCCTCGTTTTAGTGTAGTGTTTTGTACAATTTTATGTTATTTTTAATGTTTCCACATTCTACGCTTGCCGGATAGTTCACATTTTGACGAAATACCCCTGAAGATGCTATTTTAAGCGAAAGTACTTGGGCTAGATTTAATTAACTTGGGCTAGATTTAATTAACTTGTGCTCGATAATAGCCTTATTTTCAAAGATTTCTCTTATGTTTTAAACTAGGATTTGTATGAATGCGTAATTTGTTTATTACTCGTAATGTTTTAGGCGAAAGAAAAACCTCTCCTAACAGAGAAGCCAAAAACAAACTGCTTCAATTAGGCAAGATCGAAGATTCCATGGACGGTTGATTACTTTTCCAGAGTCATATTCAGTGGCTAATCGAAATATAATGTTTGTGTGATAGACTCTCGAAAACGGGTTATCAGAAATAAAAATGAAGCATTCCATAAAGATTGCCTCAATATAGCTGTGAAGTTTCCCAAAGTTTGTGGGTGCATGTTATCAGCGGATGTAGGAAGATATGAAGTGGTGGAAGGCGCAATTAACGCAGCAAATTATCCAGCAATTTTTAAAAATAGTCTTGTACCAAGTGCTCACGATCTCTAGCCGGACTTGAATTTTATATTCCAGCAGGACGGTGCTGCAAGTCATATAGCTAAAACAAATACAAAATGGTTTGAAGACAATAACATTAAAGTCCTCTCATGGCCTTCGAACAGTCCAGACCTTCGTGTTATTTAGACATTGTGGCATACGATGAAACTGACAATGACTTTGGTAAAAACCCACGCATTTATTTGGAAATGAAAAATCATCAACCAACACAAAAAATAGATTAAAATAGCTATTAATATATTTTATGAAATATATGAAATGAAATATATATATTGTAGATCATGAAATGCTATGTAATTTATTAATTAGCATATATTAATATTTATTTCACAATCTTTCATTAAAAACTTACTATATATAGTATACCTCATATTCAAGTCATTTAACTGACCTATTAAAAATCTAGTACGTACGTCACAAATTTTACACCCTGTGCCTCTGATAGAAAACACTGAACACTCAAAATCTTAAAATTTCGTTTTATTAGACCATTGAGAATAATTTCCGCAAATATAAATTGCTTTAAATAAAATAAAACGAAACTAGTTTTAATCAACGAATGTTTTTAGCGATTTAGGTAAAAACTTGTAAAATAAAAATATTTACTATATAGTAATTTCCATTGCTGTAACCTGAATAATTTTACTGGGTTTCAAAAAAGATGTACTTTTTATCAAAAGAAAGAATATTAAAGTCTATCACTATTTTAAGAGCTTATTGTAAGCTTTATCATCATCATTATCATCATTCAGCCTTCATTTATCACGTCCACTGCTGGACATAGGTCTCCCTTTAACTCCTCAATTCTTTGCGATTTTGTGCTCTTTGTTGCCAATTTTTCATGATACGCCTGATGCCAGCCCAACGTATAGGTGGTCTTCCTCTACTACGTTTGTCTGCTCTTGGTCTCCAATGTGTAATTTTGCTCGTTCATCGTGGGTCATGCATTCTCGCTACATGACCTGTCCAATTCCATTTTAGTTCCGCTATGCGTTCCACAACATCAGCAATACTCGTCTTTCTTCACCTTATACCAATAACTCATACTGATATCATCGTGTACTGATCAATATTATACACACTCCTGTCATTGATTTCCCAAATGCTGCTAAAAATTAGGTCCAATATTAAAATACTGGAAAGTTTGTACAGATGGTAGATTGTTTTTGACTCTCTGGTTTGATCACTGATGGTGTTTCTCGAATATGTACGAACCGATTTACAAGGTTCTACGACGATTTTCGATACCCACTCGACATCTATCTCTAACTCTCCACGCGTTCTCTCATCTAAGTTGCTGTCTCTAGTTTCCCTATCTACACCTTCTCTGCAGCTTCTTCTATCTTCTGTTATCCTCAGTACATGGCCGTAATATATATGTTGTTTTGTCCTAGTGCCGTCTACAATTATTTCTGTGATACGGTCATTTGTTATTCGTTCTCTCCTGCGGATCTTCGCCAAAAATTCATTTCTGTGGCTTTCAACATTTGCTCTGTTCTAGTTTTTATTTGCCAAAGTTCACTTTCAAAGTTATAATGCTTTGAATTATGGTGTTTTTGTTTGATCTGCGAGAAATGGTTTTTGGTAATATACTCTATGTTCAAGTTTTCCATTGGGTTATAGTTTGTCAAAAAAGTAGTCAGAACAAGTTGATTAGTTTTTTCTCAGAACAGTTCCATTGTGGTTAAGTTTAAATCTCTTGTAAGTGTTCATGTCCTGTAGGTCTTTTATTTTATAGCATAACCTTCGGTTTTTAATAGGACCTTAGCATCCCATTTATCTAGAGGTAAAATTAAAATGTTCTTGTCAGGATTTGGATCCTTGATTGCCCTCTTTTATAAATATATATTGCCATACAGATTTCTGTTCTGTCTGCACTATTCGGCGGTAAATCACAAATTCCAGATTAAATGTTATCTCTTTAACTGGGATGGTGCTTTGTGTGAAAGCGGGGTTTCCACCTTTGAAAAAACACTCACTGCTGATGTTAGGAGTTGTTATGAAAAATCAACAAATAGTTCTTGCTATCTTTGTTTATTGTAGTAGTTGGTCCAGATTTCTGCAAACTTTCAAATTGATTTTATATATGTCTGATGAAGATGTCATGGTAGCTTACATAGTTCTGGTCAGTTTTAGATCAAAAAAATACATTGAACAGAGTTTCGTAATGTTTAAAAATTATGGCTAAAAACCGATATTTTAAAGCTCTATAATTCAAAAACAATTGATGTATGAGTCTTATGGTATGTAAAAAAAAATATATCAGCATTACCGAAGGTACCTCTCTGCAAAGTTTCGACCAATTTAACTGAAATGACTTACCTAAATAAGAAATATACCAGAAATATTTGCACGTCTTAAGACAACCAATAAGGCTAAAAGTTGCATCTTGTGTCATTTTGGACATTTTTTGTAGCTTTGCGTCTATTATAAAATTAATATTATAAAATTTTATTAAGGGTGATACAATGGACCTGGTTTAGGAGGTGTAAGTGTCTGAAGGGTTCACAAATGGGCCCTGTCCCAATCTACCGTGACCATGACAGTTGTTCTTACTGTCAAAACAATAGCCATATTTTTGGATACGTCATTATTATAGTAGATTACAACCTATTTACGTAAAATATAATTTACCTGAGCACTGGTATCCTTGTGGTCCAATTCCATATAATATTTGTTGGCAGTTGCTACAAAATATCACAGTATAGTATTGTTGCGCTACAAATTGATGGCCCATAATATTTAGCTGAAAAAAAAAAGAAATTGATCAATGCTAGAAATATAATTGAAAAAATGTTTATAAATACTTTAACCTAAGATTGATGAAACCACACGACTATGGCCCGGTGATATTAGGATGAACTAGAATTCGTTTACTTGTAAGAATGTTGCCATACCCATGATGAGCCCAGCTTCCAAGTTAAGAGTTCAATTCATATTATATGAAATATTCTGGATGGAAACATGAATTACCGAAAGATAGAAGGAAATTAAAGAGTTACAACAAAAATAAGACAATTACAATGTATACAACAGAATTAAAGAATAGAAACAAAAATTAAGGGATGCTCCTGATTATTGACGATTAGGATAGGCTAATTATTGGTAACTAAAAAAACTACATCATTGGGTACGATTCATGTCATAACTCTTTTGTAAGTAAAGATCAGATAATTTTAACGAAACGAGTAAGGAGTCTCAAGAAATAACAATCGACAAAGTTAAGCATTCTGTTGAAACCGCAAAATACGGTAAAGTAGCGAAAAAAGAACTTCTAAAATTATTTGAGGAAAACGCCTTGCAAATTTTGCTAGACCTGTTTACCGTCATATACAGGACTGAGATCAAATTAGATGAATGATTTGTTTTCACTCTTGTTTCCAATCAGTCTCTAGTATAGTTGTACCGGAAAGCTCACAAGTTGTGTGATTCTTTCCATTAGAGTTCATGTGGCTCATACAGTTCAAAACCTGCTTGGGTGTACGAAGTTTTGGAACATCTGGCTTACAGTCCGAATTTATTACTATGCGATTAGCTCCGTTTAATATGTGAATTCTTTCCTCAGGTGGAGGATAGGCATGAAAGGGTTACCGGTTTCGTAGAGGCGCAACCTTTTACTGAGTTAAAACTCGGCGACGCTGTAGGACGGATGAAGATCTGAAAGGCACCTGGCATAGACGAAGTCATACCGGAGACAGTAAGAAAGTAAGAGGGAGTTTATGAATTTATTGATGATACGTAATTTTTCCAAGTATTTTTTTTCTCTTTTCATAAGATCTTGATTTAGTAACTTTTTTGAAGTAAAGTAGGTTGTCTACATGATTATTAAATGTATGTTTAGGCAAGATAATAATATTACTTAAAGAGTAATCTCTAGTTTATATCATTGCTTATATCGATATATTAAGTTTTTATTGATATACAATTGATAAGAGTTCCAATTTGCATTTTTCAATTTCCAGGACTGCTGGATTTGGAAATCAAGGGGGTGAATGTGATCTAATGTTATAGAAATTGGAAAGTGGTCACTATTATATAAAGAATTTATATATATATATATATATATATACACTTGAGTGCAAAATAATCGACTCAAAATTATTTTGCGAAAATACGTCTCCTGTTTCAATCTAAAAAATGTAAAGTTAAAAATATTTAGTGTACAATCATTAACCTTATTATTGAGTTTTAAAAAAAATTGTTTTTTGGTGAATTGGATGACGCATTACAAATAAATAATGCAACACCTAGAGAGGGGGTCAGAATTTGATTCATTGAAATCGACACGCACCGACTTAACGCGTTCGGTTAACATCGTACGCATCAATTTCCATAACAACCCACTAATACATCAGTCACTTAAGCTCGCCACTACATTATAGATGGATACCACATCCGTCAACGCAACTCAAGCAGTAGCATTATTGAGAGAAGGCCTGAGCCAGAGGGCCGAAGTAAATCGACTAAATTTAAGCCAATCTGCTGTGTCCCGAGTGTATCGTCGGTAACAAGACACTGCTGATTATATCCGTCGACAAGGAGGATGCCGTAACTACGGAGAGAGATGATCCATTTCTTGTATCGAAGTCCCTGAGAAATCGACATTTCTGTGGTGACCAGCGATTGGACAGTCAGAAGGAGACTAAGCTGCGAACATTTGGATTGGGACGACTATCAATAGAGTCAGGTATTATTCTCCGATGAAAGTAGGATCTGCCTACATGGCAACGACAAGAGGCTTAGAGTCTATGAGGCTAGGAGAGCGATCTGCTCAATTTTGTATACGAAAAATTGTGTCATGAAGGCGGTTCTTTTATGTTTTGGGGAGGCAATTTTATGGATGGAAAAACTGAGTTGATTTTCGTGCCTGGTGAAGAATGTGGAGGAGGTTTAACGGCAGATCGTAACATCAGAGACATTTTGAAGAAATATGGTTTCATACGTGGGATTTATTGGTGATGCCTTTATTCTAATGCACGATAATGCACGACGCCACATCACACGAGTCACCACCACCTATCTATATGAGATCGATATACCTACAATAAATTGGCCTGCGTTAAGCCCGGACATAAATTTAATAGAGCATGTTTGGGATGGGCTTAAACGAAGGCTCCGGGACAGAAATCATGTACCAAGGAGCATAATAGAATTGAGAGCTGCGCTTAATGATGAATGGGAAGCAATGCCGCAAGAATTTATTAGAAAAGTCATCCGATCCATGCGAAATCGATTGGAAAACGTAATTAGGTGTAGGGGTGGTAATAATTAAGAAATAATTAATTTCTTAATTCTTAATTAATAATTTAGAAATTCAGGTTGTAATTGATGATTTCTCTGTTCCAATGATGAATATTTAGGAAACTCTGTTTGTATTGCATATTGTTGTTATAACGCTCCAAATAATACAATAGCAGTTTTTGTAACACTGTATACACTTGAGTCCAAAATAATCGACTCAAAAGCGATATTTGAGATTACACCTTGTTATCTAACACAGATATAAAATCATATTTTCAGCGAATAGACAAAGATAACAATCATATTTCCCCTTGGTCTCCCCTCCATAAATATTTTTAACACTCATTGCTCATTCGTGAGACGAATAGTTCCGATCAGAGATATTTTACATATTCTCTGGTTCCGATCCTAATATACCTAAAAAACTAGAGGTGGATCCTCTCGTTTTTAAATTTTTATCGGAACCGTTTTTCGTAAACTGTAACTAGTTGATTGTTTACCAGTATTCAAATTAGCGAGTACACAAACATATTGGCTATTATCATTTATGTGTATAAGTATTGAAGTGAAAGAACCTAACGAAGGATATATTTCTTATAACTTGAAAAATAAATTAAACAATACAAATAGTACTTACATTTACATTACACATTATTAAATCGCGAATCGTCTAAATTGACATTTAAAAACAAGTTTTTCCACTTTTCTTGTTAACCGTGTTCTTCTTTTATTTAAAATTAAACCAGATTTTAAACATGTGTTTACAAGGAAAAAATTTTGTTACAATACTACAATATTTTATGAATATAGTGGTTAAGTTAGGATATACATGACGATGGTTTTTCCACCACGGTAATGGACAGTTCCAATCTCCGTTCGAAATTTTTTGTGGGTATATCATCAGACAAATACATGTCGACTTCTTTTATATCTCTCGATACAGGTGTATGTTTAGATGAGTCACGTCCAATTAATCAATCAAAAATACACCATGGACTTAAGTCATCTTTATCAGTTTCTTTTTCTTGTACTGGTTGATTTTCAAGATTTACTAAACTTATGCAAAGACTCGTTTCATCCGTTTTCCATAGGTGAAGAACCAGCTTTTAAAAAGTTTGCAGGGTGGATTCCTGGATATAAACTGCCAACAAGAAAAACTGTCAGGTTCATTACTTCAGGAATGTTATGTAAAAACTGATTTGATAATAGATAAAATAAAAAGTCCTATTTTCGACAATTCTGCAAAAAACACATTTAAAAAAAAGTACCTTATCTTCAGAAAGGCTTTTAAAGTAATAATTACAACATAACAAAGTTCCCAAACGGCCAATCCAAGACGTGGAAACTAGGTAGAACTTCACCTACTACATGTTAAAAAAAATGACCGAGTTAGAAGAGGCAATCCGTTCCACATCGGTATTAAATAATACAGACTTAGACCAAATCTAAATAAATAACACTGGATTATTTGTTCTCGGCTTTCCCAAATTTTACGGCCGTTTAAAGAAATAACAAGTACAATGAGTGACCAAAAATACTTCAAGGGTAGTTCAGTGATTGTTATGGTACGCTGCCTGCAAGAATCTTGCAATAAAATTTTAGCAAACGGTAAATTTAGCAATAAGGTTTAGCAAACCTTACATCCATAGTATCCGACGTAGTACAATTACTAATATCGGGTTCAGCAAAAAGATTTAAAGGGATAGAACAAAGTGGCACATTGTTATTATGTACATTTATGGATTCACTATTTAAAGTGCAAGGTTTTTCTGATAAAAATGAAGATAAAAAATTAAAGAAAAAGTTGAGAAGCTGGTTACTTCTATAATTAACGAACAAGAAGATTGTACTATTGAAAATCAAAGAGTACAAGAAAAAGAAACCAATAAAGATGACTTAAATCCATTGTGTATTTTTGATCAATTAATTGGAGATGGCTCATCTACACGTACACCTGAATCGAGAGTCCATTACAACGGTGGAAAAACCATCGCCATGTATATCTTAACATATACACATATTGTGAACACATGTTCAAAATCTGGTTTAATTTGAAATAAAAAAAGAAGACGGTTAATAAGAAATAAATTTGAAAAACTTATGTTTTTGAATGTCAATTTAGACTATTCGCCATTTAATAATAACGTGTAATGTAAATGTAAGTATGAGTTACTATTTGTATTGTTTAGTTTATTTTTCAAGTTATAATAAATAAATCATTAGTTTCTTTCACTTCAATAAATATACACATAAACGATAATAGCCATTATGTTTGTTTATGTAGGTACTCTCTTACTTAAAACTACTTTTAAACAATCATAGTTACTTGTTTACAAAAATTTAAATTTTTAAATACATTCATTTTTTTGGAATCCTGAGAAAACTAACAAATATTTTTGAAAAATTTAAATGCAGAATAAAAGATTACATTATTACCGAGGGCCGAATGTCCCTTAGAATAAACAAAAAGGTTTTTGAATGAGATATTTGAAATTAAAAATCACA